TGAAAGCTCTTTCCAGAAGTCAACATGGGCATTTTCAGTTTTTCCAAAGTCCTAATTCACACCCTTTTATTTATTTATTTTTATGTGGTGCTGAGGATTGAACCCAGGGCCTCGAACACTCTATCGCTGAGCCACAACCCCAGCCCAACACCCTTTTAAACAAGGAAAATCTCAATCTTGAATTTGTCATAGTTTGATTTTTTTTTTTTTTTAATTCTTTTTGGAGTCCTGGGACTCAAACCCAGGGCCTCACATGTGGTAATAAGCAAGCTCCTACTGAGCCCCACCTCCAGCCCTTGCGCAATTATGGTAACATTCTAGGTAGAACTAGCATGCCCTGATAACCTGCAGCTTTACACTGTACGTTTAGTTCTTTATTTCTATACCAAAATATATATATATTTTTTTTTTACCTAAAATAATCCCAACAAATTTTTAATTTATCCAGCTGGGCGCAGTGGTACATGGCTATAATCCCAGTCACTTGTGAGGCTACATGGGAGGATTGTGAGTTCGAGGCCAGCCTGGGCAACTTAGTGAGACCCTGTTTCAAAATAAAAAAAAAAAAATTGGGGGGCTGGAGTTGAGGCTCAGCAGTAAATCGCTTGCCTCGCATGTTTGAGGCACTTGGTTCGATCCTCAGCAACACATAAAAATAAATAAACAAAAATAAAGGTATTGTGTTCATCTACAACTAAAAAAATATTTTAAAAAAATTTTGAGGTATTCTTGCAGAGGGAAATTCATGGCAGCTGAGCCATGAATATGATTAGTATATTCTTATATGATTAGTATACTTTGTAGATTTTATTCAATGAACACATTAAACATTCTGGGCACTTAGCCTGTACAAAGAACTCACTTTGGAGAACAGCAGTGGGCACTGGGGATTGACCTAAAGGTGTTTTCACCACTGAGCTACATCCCCTGCCCTGTACACAGAACACAGTACACAAGGACCCATGCCACCTCCTCCCTGACAGAGCTATAACAACCTGGGGGCATATGAAAGATAAGAAAATTTCTGGGGGGATGAGAAGTGTGCTCTGATAGCTTATCACTGGCTGTTTTCAAGAGGTGGCAAAAGGCAGGTAAGGTGGCAAACAGGTAATCCCAGCAGCTCACGACGCTGAGGCAGGTGAATCTCAAGTTCAAAGCCAGCCTCAGCAACCTAGCATGGCCCTAAACAACTCAACGAGACCCTGTGTCTAAATAAAATACAAAATAGGGCTGGGGAAGTTCAATCCCTGGTACCTCCTCACCACACACACAAAAAAGTCCATATCTTAGGACTTCATAGGGTTCAAGACTACAATCCTGAATTACCACTGAATTAACCTATCTGTAGCCTCAGTTTCCTCATATACAAGGTGGAGCTAAAACAATGTCAACTAAACCACTTCCTCAAAGTTATGAGGATCAAATGAGACCATATAAGCAACTACCACAAGCAGAACACAAAGCAGGTACTCAATGTGAGGAATTCTCAGTAAAACACACATAATCACATACTTCCCTCCCATACCAAGGTGAGCTCCTCACTACAAAATGTTTGCATTCAATACCTTTCTGTCAATAAAACAAAATACTTGAGATAATCAGCTTATAAACAGAAAAGGTTTATTTTAGCTCACAGTTTTGGAAGTACCAGTCCATAAATGACTGTTCCCATTGTTAAGGGCCTGTGGCATAGCAGGAGGACTTGGCAGAGTAAAATTGTTTACATTATGAGTCAGTGAGCAAAGAGGAAGGAGCCAGGGTCTCATAATCTGCCTTGAGGCCACACCCCTCAATGACCTAAGGACCTCCTACTAGGCTCCAAAGGCTCAACCACCTCTCAAACAATGTCACCCTGAGGTCAAAGACCAGAAAAGCTCTAAAGGTGGGATAGTCAAGATCCAACCACAGCACTATTGGAAACCCCTGATTAGAGCCACACAACCTACACAAAGGCTTCTGTTCATTAGACCATGGCAGCGAGTATTCACGGGGTACCTATCATGTACTAGGCACCACACAAAGCACTGAGTGACCACTGTTCACCACCTCAAGGCCCACCCTCCTGGACCTCTTAGTCTAATGTTTTATACAAGGACATGTTTCTGAAAAGATGAACAATGGGAACTTTGATGAAAAGGAGCTCAGTTCTGAACTACTACAAAAAACAGGTCTGCTTATCCTAATGGATAGAACTAGGACACAGATTGAAGTTTGAAGATCAAGTCTTCTCTTTACATACAGAAGAAACTTATAAACTTCAAGTCTACTAATGGAAAGAGCTCTGTCCTTAGAGGTGTTCAAGCAGGTGCAGCAGGAATGCTATAGACTGGTTCCTGCATTAGTGGGGAGATGGACTAACCTTCCTCTGAGGTTCTCCAGAGATCTCCTAATTCAGCAAAGGGCATCAGCATGACCCAATGAGCCTTTCATTTTTGGGGTTCCTGGGATTGAACTCAGGGGCACTCAGTCACTGAGCCACATCCCCAGCCCTATTATATTTTATTTAGAGACAGGGTCTCACTGAGTCACTTGGCACCTCACTTTTGCTGAGGCTGGCTTTGAGCTTGCAATACTCCTGCCTCAGCCTCCCAAGCTGCTGGGATTACAGGCATGCGCCACCACACTTGGCTTGATAAACTTTTCTTAGATATCTAAGTTTTAAGATATCAGCCATCATATAACAAATTAGAATCAAAAAATAAAAATAAAAAAGATATCAGTCAACAAGCTGGGCATAGGGGCTGGGGTTATGGCTCAGTGGTAGAGTGCTTGGAGGCACTGGGTTCAATTCTCAGCACCACATAAAAATAAATAAATAAAATAAAGGTATTGTGTCCATCTACAACTAAAATTTTTTTTTTTTTTTTAAAGTGGGCATGGTGGCACACACCTGTAATCCCAGTGACTTGGGAGGCTGAGGCAGAAAGATCACAAATTCAAGGCCAGCCCCAGCTACTTAGTGAGGCCCTGAGCAACTCGGGGAGACTTTGTCTCAAAATAAAAAATAAAAAGGACTGGTGATGTAGTTCAGTGGTTAATCACCCCTGGGTTCAAATCCCTACTATCAAAAAAAAAAAAAAAAAAAAAGATATCAGCCATCTACAACCTGGTGCAGAGCTTTCTCTGCACAAGGAGATATTTCCAACCCTTCCTGGCTCCTGTTAAAATGTCACTAACAAAAAATTTGCTCAGGATTGTTTATTTCAAGCTTTGTGAGGAATTGGTCTAAGCAGGACAACAACTACCTTAAATGTAAACTGCCTTGTGTTTCCAGGCCACATTTTTTTCAGACATCAGCCTCTTCACATGGTTGGTCTAATGAAAGTTCAGATGAGTTTCCAGGAGCAAGCCCATGAGGAAGTAGCCCCTACTTCCTTTTTCACCCTCTGTCACCAAGATAGAATCCTAGAGGATGATCAACATCACCTTGGACCTTCTAGAATAAACTAAACCCTAACTGGAATGTGCAGGGAATAGGCAGCTTCAGAGAACATGGGGAGCCAAGTCACTACTTCCTACCAAGTCTGGCCTGCCCCAATGTGGCATCCCTGAAAAATGTGTTGTAAGACCATTTGTCTAAAGTAGAAATAGAACATGAATAAATGTGCCACATAAACCAAAAGACCACATGAATGTCAAGTCAGTTTTCTAATCTGGCTTGAAAATATGGCAAAATACTCCTGCCACACAGTAGGTGTCCTCTACATGCCTCTAATCAGACCAGACATGACTGCACACACAGGCTCACCATTTTCAGTCACATGCAGAATGAGACTCTGCAGCTACAGAAATTTACAAATACACTGTTATAAGAGTCCTACCTATTTCCTTTTATTATCACACACAACCTTGTTATAAGGTATTTTTAACCCTATTTCACTGATAAAAACACAAAGTTTCAGAAAGTAACACAGCTATTAGGGTTGCTGAACCAAGATGCAGACCTAGTTCTATCAATCTTTGGGAAGTACATAGTACCCATACCCTACACTTTTTTTGAGGAGATATTTAAAGACAGTTTATCTGCAAATACAACTTTTCATGCAGATCTTTGGCTGAATGTATGTGAACAATGGAAGGCCTTATGATTCACTTTTCTGTCATTGATGTGACATCCAGATGTTACAATTAACATATGGGCTCAAATGATTGGTTCTTTGCAGAACCTGAAACCATTAAGTGTGAGGTCAGTGCTTGACTCTGACCATGGCCAGCATTTCCCTTGGGTCAGACTGTGGGGGTATCTTCTGCTGCTATTGGAGGCATGGATGGTATAAATTCTACCCAAAGTGCATGCCCTTTTACTCTTTCCCACAAGAGTGTCAACAGCCCTAAATGCAAATTCCATCTCTATTGATAAACAACCTGGTGATCCTGGGCAGCTGGTTAACTGTGCCAAGACTCAGCTTTTCAATAAAAAGGGACAGTCATAAAGTTGTGAAGATCCAAAGAGACAATGTGTTGAGAACATTCTGTGTGTGCAATCTCTCTCTCTCTTTTTTTTTTTTTTAAAGAGAGAGAGAATTTTAATATTTATTTTTTAGTTCTTGGAGGACACAACATCTCTGTTTGTATGTGGTGCTGAGGATCAAACCCGCGCCGCACGCATGCCAGGCGAGGGCGCTGCTGCTTGAGCCACATCCCCAGCCCTGTATGTGCAATCTCTATTGCCCCATAAGGGAAAGGCTGGTCCTGGACCTCTAAGAACCCCAAAACATGAAAAGACAGTAGAACTGGTGCCCTTGGCAACATCATCTCTCAAAAACTAAAACGGAGGACAACATCCTGAAATGTTTTGCAGTGGTAGCTTCAGATCTTCCACTTAAGCAAAATTTCTACACAGTAAAACACAGTTGAATTACAAAATAGCCAGAGAAAAGTCATGTGGACTGTGTTTCTGGAGAAAATTATCTTTAAAAAGCAAAAAGAAGCATTCTAAAACATCATCTTTTTACCTGTGATCACAGTGGCATGGATTTAAAAATACTGATAATCAGACAGCTACATAAGTACAGCTTTATTCATCTTTCAGAGATTGCCTTTTGGCTAAGAAAATTACGTAAAAGAATGAAAAATAACTATGATTTCTGTTTGAAAAAGTCTATCATGCTTACTTGCTCACACAATTTTATTAGCCATAGTGTGTGTAAGTCCCAAGATATACCATTCATACACATGCCTTCTTGTTGTGCTTGGGGAATACACAGGAGTATTTGCTGGACTTTCTGGGTGTCTTTTAAACTAGCTTCTGCAGTTAATGGCTTGGAGAATTCAGCACACAAAGCTGCCTAGCCTCTTTTTCTTTTAAATCTCTACTTATCACTTCAAAATTCTCTTTGAGGCAACAGACACTCCCAGAGGCTCTATCTGCAGAGAGCTGCCTCAGTGGTGGGAGCTCAGTCCTCACTGTCCACTGCTTCAGCTTCTACTGTTTCCCTTGAGCTTTTGTTAACATCCTCTGACTTGTTTTTCTTCTTTGCCTTCCGTTCCAGGTTAAACTGAGCAATCTCATCATTTTTCTCTGTGATGTATTTTAGCTACAAAAAAAAAAAAAAAAAAGTACTTAATCTGCTTGTAAATCATTAAACCTAAAAATAACAGCCACACCGTCCCCAACCACTCACATCCAGAGAATTTGGGTAGAAAAGCCTGGGTTACACCTCTTAGAGTTAAAGGCAGCTTCAAAACTTTTTTCTAGAAAAAGGAATCAACTATAAAAATCAACTGAGTGCTATCCACGTATCTTCCAAACAGTATATTTCAGTGTAAGAGTTCCTTGAATAATCGAAAGAATTTAAAATGGGAAGTTTGCATGTGGAAGGCCCCAGGTGAAAAAAAAAATGAAGTTTGTAGAAATTTACTACATAAAGTAAAAGTGGAGGGCCGGGGTGGAGCTCAGTGACAAAGTGTTTGCTTAGCATTCATAAGGCAAAAGGGGTTTCCATCCTCAACACTACAAAAAACAAAGCTCGAATATAATCAACACCCCTTAAATTTATCCAACTAAAGTTTATTGGGCAACTGCTATGTTGCAAGTACTAGGGATACAAGATAAATAAGAAAAGTTCCTCCTGCTCTCGGAGGACTTGGTCTAATGCACAAATTTAGCTATACTCCTCTGTAATAAGGTGTATCAGGTGAAAAAAAAATTAAAAGAGTTCAAAATAAAAACAATATTATGAAGTAAACAAACATCCAAGGAGATGACTTCCCAATTAATATTCCTAGATGAGGTGAATGATCATCCCTTTGCAACAGAAATTGATAACTAAAGGAGACCAAATAAATTATAACTGTGCAGAAGTTACAAAGAGAAGAATGTCTGCCCAATGCCACATCCTTAATCTTGACTTAAACTTTGGAGAAAGGATATTAAGAGAGGAGAGTAGAAAAGATAAGGTGAAGAAAACAGCACTGGATTGAGGGCCAGAAGGTTAAGCTTCAGCTTTCAATCACAAAACTTCCTATTTAACTTTGGGGAGTTACTGAACTTCAGTTGCCAAGCCTATAAAGTGGGACTAATAAGATATATTATTAAAAACCCACCCAGGCGGAGTGTGGTGGTGTGTGCCTATAGTTTTAGCTATTCAGAAGGCTGAGGCAGGAGTTTAAGTAAAATACTACACAGATTAATTCATGAACAACTATTTATTGAGCACCTTTTTTGTGGCAGGCACTATTCTAGAAGTAGTGTTAATGGAGCTGAGAACAAAAGCAAAAAAAACCCTGTCCTTGTGGAGACCACATTATTGAGGGCCATCAGTGTATTAATTGCTAGCATTGGACTTAGGACACCTCCTGGTGTCCTGGGTCTGCTATCAGTCACAGCCACTAGCCTGGGATGATCATAGCATCTCTGTGTCTTTACCTGAAAAATGAAAGTTTAGTCAAAATAATTTCTAGACTTGAAAAGATAGAAAATGTCACCAGATGCGGTGGTACATGCCTGTGATCTCAGCTACTTGGGAGGCTGAAGCAGGAAAACTGCAAATTCAAGGCCAGCCTGGGTAACTCAACAAGGTCATAAGCAACTTAGTGAGACCCTGTCTTGAAATAAAAAATAAAGATAGCTCAGTAGTAAACCACTCCTGGCCTGATTTCCCAATACTCCTCCCACACTGCGCTACCCCACCAAAAGAAAAACGAAAGAAAAAGGAGAGAGAGAAAATGCTTTTTCCTGCACATTCAGCCTCATAGATACTCTTCCACACCTTGCCTGTGAGGAGAACTATGGATACTATAAAGAACCCTCCCCACAGATTAGCCTGTGACCAGTCTCTGACATCATGCTGTAAATGAAACATGGAACCAAAGTTTTGAGAGATTACAAAAAGGGCAAATTATGAAATTCAGAGAGTGCTGATTAAAAAATTTCAAATTGCTTCATAAGATTCATCATCATGAAAGAAAGATCATAAATTTCAGGCAGGTCTGCATAGTTCAACCATCTCTAGTTTTTAATGCAAGGTGCCCTAGGGATTAACTTCATGGCTTCAAGTGATTAATTGGGAATAATGTATTCTGATGGGAAAGGGGAATGAGCAAAGAAATTCATCTCTCACCAGTGAATTACTCCTCCTGGCTAAGAGCTTCACGTCCTCAGTGTTAATTGTGCTTCTTTTTGCATGTCTATGGAAAGGGCAGAAACAAGTCACCAAAATGTTTGCTATTTAAGGTTCTTTTTTTTTTTTTAAAGGTTAACTTTGAAGAAGCTACAGTTTTTTTTTGTTTTTTTTTTAAAGAGAGAGAGAGAGAGAATTTTTTAATATTTATTTTTTAGTTCTCGGTGGACACAAAATCATTGTTTGTATGTGGTGCTGAGGATCGAACCTGGGTCGCACGCATGCCAGGCGAGCACGCTACCGCTTGAGCCACATCCCCAGGCCCCTATTTAAGGTTCTGATGAACTTTAATCCTAACTTCAATCCTAACTCACGGTCAGACTTCAAACTAGCCAGTATCCCTAAGTAATCATCTTGTTAGATAGTGGTCATTAAGCAATAGTAACATTTAAAATGAGTAAGGTTACTAGCAAGACACCAATTAGACCCAAGAAGACCCAGAGAAGGCAGAAACCCAACTGTTCACCTTGCCCAGGGGCCACAGGGGCCAGATATGCAGAAGGAGATGGAGGAGTTAAAAATCCTTCCAAAGTGTCTTGCGTGATCACAGTGAATACCACAGGAAGAGCAAGAAAAATGTCAGTGTACAACTTTAGAGAAAATAAGCCTCAAAATACAAAGAGAGCTTCTGCTTAAATACACATTAAATAGAAGAGCAAGAGAATTTCCATGAAGAGTGGCTTTACTTATAGCAAGATCCCAAAGCTCTTTTCCAAGGGATAAATGACAGGAAAAAGCATATGCAGATGCCTCCCAGCACCTGGGAACTGTTTCTGCCTCGCCTCCACAGCAGCCTCAGCAGAACAAAGAACATCCTTTAAGTTGAAGTCTGTTTCTTGCTCACAGCTTGGACCCAAAGTCTCATTCCAGTCCTCTTATCCTTGCTATGAAAGATAATTTCAGATAATGAGCTCTATTCAATAATTTATTACTCTGATTAATCCTTTCTTGCCATTATTAACTTATGCCCAAAATAAATAAGAACTTTGTAATCAGGAATAAGTAAGAATCAATGTATCCTTAATAACTAGCAAAGTGGTCAGCACATATTAGTCCTCACTGAATAACTGCTGAGTTAAAGATAAAATCACACAGAAATTATCTCCCGCTAAATGTACTGTATCACATGTCATTTCATCATGAATGACAATATCTGCTTGTCATGAGATAATACCCGTTTTAAGAGGGAACTTCTAGCTGAATGCAGTGGCGAACACATACAATCCTAAGTACCTAGGAGGCCAAGGCAAGAGGCCAGCCTAGACACAACCAGACCTTGACTCCAAACAAAATTTTAAAAGAGCTGGGGATGTAACTCAGTGGTAGAATGTCCTGGGTTCAATCCCCAGTACATAGGAGGCGGGGAGATAAGTGCTAATCAACAACCTGCAAGGAGCAGGACAAACAGAAGGAGATATAAAGGCAGCCACAAAGTATGAGGCCTGACTACAGACAGCCTCACTGGAGTACCAAGTACACAGTAGGGCCCAGTCTTAGTCACACCATTGGACCGCTCTTATCTGTGTTTACTTAAAGTGCAATGAAAGAAATAAGTGATGGGGCTGGGGTGGTGGCTTAGTGGTAGAGTGGGGTGGTGGCTTAGTGGTAGAGTGCTTGCCTAGCATGCATGAGGCAATGGGTTCGATCCTCAGCACCACATAAAAACAAACTAATATATCCACCTAAAAAAACTAAAGATACATAAATAAATAAATATTAAAAAAAAAAAAGAAATAAGTGAAAGGAATATGCACACCATTCTACAGAGTGACCTTATCTATTCACAAGGAAGTTCTGGGGAAACAACAAACTCAATCCTAACTCTTGGTGTGGTATCTGGTATTTGCACCAGATTTTAAAGTTAATTCTCTCCTACATGGAGGAACAGGTAAATCCCACACCAACCACAAAACATCAGACTCTCCTAAAACAAACCTCTGACTCCCGAAAATTACTCCAGGGAAAATAACAGCAATTTTTCTTTCCTTTCTTTTCTTTCCCTTTTGCAGTATTGGGGGTGAAACCCAGGGCCTCAAGCATGCTAGGAAAGTGCTCTACCACTGACCTAAACCCCCAGCCCAGCAATCTTTCATATAATACTCTAAGCAACACAGGTTCATGTTCTAAAAACTATTTCAAAAAGATTCCCAGAATTTATTTACTATAGAATATCTACCTTAAAAGTTTTGAATGTGAACATATTAACAATATGAGAAGGGCTGGGGATGTGGCTCAAGCGGTAGCGCGCTCGCCTGACATGCGTGCGGCCCGGGTTCCATCCTCAGCACCACATACAAACAAAGATGTTGTGTCCGCCGAGAACTAAAAAATAAATATTAAAATTTTCTCTCTCTCTCTCCCTCTGAATTTTTTTTTTAGAGAGAGAGAGAGAGAATTTTTTAATATTTATTTTTCAGTTATTGGCGGACACAACATCTCTGTTTGTATGTGGTGCTGAGGATCGAACCCGGGCTGCACGCATGCCAGGCGAGCACGCTACCGCTTGAGCCACATCCCCAGCCCTCTCACTCTGTCTTAAAAAAAAAAAAAAAATGAGAAGACTAAAAATTCCAAACTAAATAAAGGAAACTTACAATGTAAACTGGGAAACGGTTTTGCCAAGCTTGCAGGTAAATTATTTATTTAGAATGTAAATGCATTTTTTCATCAAAATGTTATAAATGCTGATTAGGTTCCCAGACCAGTCTACAAAGACTGTTTAAAATACAGCTGGCCTGAAATACATAGTTAAATTTCTCAAACAGGGGCCATTATAACCCTGGGATTATAGACTGTGATAGAGAATACACAAAGCTCCAAGAAAAACAAGTGACATTTTCAGAACATCAGTCTTATTCAGCAATAAGCTTTAAAAGAATAATTTTTTACATGAAAGCAAGCTGGAATATCACAAAAAGGTAAAATTCAGATAAAGAATGAGTCTTCAAAGAAAATCTGCACTTGTGGACTGTCCCAGGTAGAAGGGATGCATACCCATCCCAGGCCAGCTTGCTGGGTTCTGCATGGCTCTGGCTCTAAGGAAAAGTCTGGGGAAGCTTGGGAACACACAGGTGACAATGAAGTGAGGAGAGCCTCTAATAGTAGGATTCAGAGAAGAGCTGTTGAGAGCCTTTTCAGAAGCCCTCTCATTAAACATTTTTTGTTTTTGGTGCTGGGGATTGAACCCAGGGGCCTTGTACATGCAAGTCAAGCACTCAGTCAACTGAGCTATAGCCCAACCCACTGAAAAGATTTTTATGTCAGCTGTGAGCTCCTGCCTTCTAGAGCTCCGGTCTTAAGTCTCACACATACTGCTTCCCCATAGGATGCAGCAGCAGATTAACCTTTCATGAAATTATGAAAAACACAAAATATCTGAAAACGTAATATGTTGCTATGCTAAATATTTCTAATTTCTTCCACCACCACCTTTTTTATTTTATTTTTTTTAAGAGAAATTTTTTTTAATATTTAGTTTTTAGTTTTCAGTGGACACATCTTTATTTTATTTTTATGTGGTGCTGAGGATCAAACCCAGTGCCCCACACATGCCAGGTGAGAGCGCTACCTACCGCTTGAGCCACATCCCCAGCCCATCTTTTTTATTTTTGATGGCAATGGAACCCAGGGCCTCCCACATGCTGAGCACACACTCTTTCGCTGAGCTATACCCTCAGCTCCTAAATGCATTTTTCTTTCTAGAATTTTTACAAAAGTATTCCAAAATTTTCCTTGTCTTTTTCTACATCTAACACAAAAATGGGAAACAAAGGTGATAAATGTACTTAATGTGGAAGGCCACACAGGGGCAGCCCAAGTGAACAACGAACAAGCCATTTAAACTATGGGTATCCCTTAATATCCCTCTTGGCCAAATTGACAATACTAAGCGGTTTTTAGGGACTAATATATACAGGAGTAGGAAAAATTTAGAACCTGCCCTCTGAGAACCTAGTGCTTTAATTCATTCAAAATATTCATTCCAGAAACAAAGAGCTAATAGGAGCAAGGTGAACAGGGTGGGCATGGGAGGCACTGGCACCAGCTCAGAAGCGATAGCAAGAAAGCTTCAGCCTTCCATGCCTTAGTCATTCCAGCTGTTGCACAAAAGCAATTTCTTGCGATTGTTTTCAATTACCTGAGGTACTAATTGAAGAGATGAACATAAATCACTTGTAAAAGCTCAAGCTTTACCAGCTGAAAGCAAATTGCCCCTTTCCACAGAGCATGTTTTACTCATTTGGTGGCAAAACGAAAGCCTCTGTTGTCCATCACTATCCATACACCTGCGAGCAATCACTGCAGTGGAGCCCAATGGGCCCCCTCAGAGGGCCGACAGCCTACACTCAGACACAGAGCAATCAAACCATCCTCAAAGCGTGGTTCTTAAAATAGACACCAGCACATTCAGAGTCCTGGAGATATCACTCAGGCCTTTTCAACCTGGAAATGAGTAACTTAGGTTTTTTACCAGAAAACACTTGGAGAACTTCCAAAGATGCCAAGTCTGAATTGGCATGATTAAAGCAGATGCTATATTCCTGCAGAATCATGATTAGAGACGAAGCATCTACAAAGTTCTAAAACACAACAAGCCAAAGCTCTCCTGACACACACACACACACACACACACACACACACACACATCCCGGATGGAGAGCATCAGCAGAACATAAGCAAGCAGCACTACATCAGCAAGCTCTCGACCCACCTGGCAAACATTTCCAGGTCTTTGGCAAAATTTTCTGAAAGAGAAAAAAAGGGATACACTTTAACCACCCTGAGCACAGTCTCATTTCAGGAGAAGGGGGATGTGGATGCTGCACCGTACTGCCAGTGATTAACACAGGGAACCCTTTTAAAGGGGAGTGGAGGCATTTCAGGCAGCCCCATCATTTGGTAACAGCCCTTAGCTTTTATTTATTTATGTATGTATGTATGTATGTTGTAGTTGGACCCAATACCTTTATTTCATTCACTTATTTTTATGTGGTGCTGAGGATCGAACCCAAGGCCCCGAGTCTGCTAGGCAAGCAACTCTACTGCTGAGCCACAATCCCAGCCCCACAGCCCTTAGCTTTTTTAATCATGATGACCTCCTTGTCCTTCTCACAGCCTCCACCCTTTATTATAAGCCTTCCATTAATTATGACTCCACCTTTAGTTTCTAGAAACTATAGGAACTATACTTTAATATTAAATTCTGCAACAGGTTAGGGCTTGTGAGGGCACTAATTTCCTCTAAAGTTAAGCAAGTACCAATACCACAAATTCAGCTGTCAAAACACGTGATATAAAAATGTTATAAAGCATTGAAATAAAAAATTTAATGTCTAATGTTCTAGCCATCAGGGCAGTTTAAAAGATAATAAAAAAGGCGTTAATACCTTAGTGTTGGTGCAATAGGAAAAAAACTCTAACAGTTCTTCCCATAAAATGTCCAAATCTCACAGCCAGGAAAAGTTTTTCATGAAGAATGTGACGATGATGACATCCTCCGTGTGTGGGTAAGAGACACCACAGTCCCACCCGCACACTGCTCCCAGGCAGACCAACCTACGGGATAGATAGACACAGAGAGGAAGACCCTGGCTTCATACCGCACTGTCGAAAAGTTAACTCTGAAATTGCTGCAATGGTTTGTTTGCTGAACTGCATCTCTTTGTCCGAGGTGACTTCCTCACAAAGACAACCCACCGTGTAGTGAACAGCAGCTTTTAGCCTCTGGAAGAAAAAAAAAAAAAAAAAAAGTCAAAATACTTTGCAGGGGAGGGGGGAATGAGTTTACAAATAAGAGCTTTCCACACCTTTAAGAATTAAGACCAGCTGGGCCGGGACTGGGGTTGTGGCTCAGTGATAGAGGGTTCGCCCAGCACGTGCAAAGCCCTGGGTTTGATCCTCAGCACCACATATAAATAAATAAAATAAAGGTATTGTTGGGCTGGGGATGTGGCTCAAGCGGTAGCGTGCTCGCCTGGCATGCGTGCAGCCCGGGTTCGATCCTCAGCACCACATACAAAGATGTGTCCGCCGAAAACTAAAAAATAAATATTAAAAAAAAATTTGTCTGTCTCTCTCTCTCTCTCCCCCTCCTCTCTCTCAAAAAATAAAATAAAGGTATTGTGTCCAACTACAACTAAAAGATAAATATTAAAAAAAAAAAAGACCATCCGGGTGCAGTGGTATATGCCTACAATCCCAGCTACTTGCGAGGGTGAGGTAAGATGATCAAAAAGTTCAAGGCCAGCCTCAGCAACTTAGCAAGACTCTGCTCAAAATAAAAAATAAAGGTCTGGGGACACAGCTCAGTGGTAGAGCACCCTGGGTTCAATCCCAAGTACCAAAAAAGTAAAAATAATAATAATAAACAATAAATAAGCTGGGTGTACTGGCACACATCTGTAATCCCAGCAGTTCAGGAGGCTGAGACAGGTGGATGATGAGTTCAAAACCAGCCTCAGCAACTTAGCAAGGCCCTAAACAACTCCGTGAGATCCTGTCTCTAAATAAAATTTAAAAATGGGCTGGAGATGTGACTCAGTGGTTACGTACTACTGGGTTCAATCCCTGGTACCAAAATTAAATAAATAAATAAGACCAAGAAGATCTGCTCAGCCTAATTTCTTCAGCACTTTCCATAATGGCTGAGTAACTCTTCACGTGTCCTAATCAGTTAATGAGATCTTCTGGAGTATGACTTGTAGAAACATTACTTTCAGCTATTGTAATGACTTATGTCACGTAAAAATAAGGAATTATGATGGCAGATCAGTAGGAGATGTCAGACTGGTACTTGCCAAGTATCAGCAAACCTTCCCTCAGTTATTCCACAACTATCAGCCAGTTACTTGCAGTGTGCTACGTATTGAGAAACACAATGACAAACCAAGTCAGAGACTGTGCCCTTTAGGCAGTTAATTGAGTAAAGACAGAAGGAAATCATGCCTCTGCTTCAAGTCCCTGGCAGGGCTAGGCCTATATGAAACAGGATAAAAGTAGAGAACACAGGGAAAGACAGGTAAGGGCACATCTGACCCCCTTTTGATTAGCAGGTTTGTACCACATCAACAGCCTTCACTTTCCTTTGCAAATTACCTCCACACATTTTTTTTTTTTTTTTTTTGCAGTTCTAGGGAACAAACCCAGAGCCTTATGCATGCGCAAGAGCTCCACCACTGAGCTACACCCCCCAGCCCTCAGCAACCCTTGAAGACACCAAAAACTATTCCTTCCTCATGCAGAGGAATAAAGTACCAAGAAAAACCTCAAAGCAGAGCAAAACAAGCTTAGCAATGGCCTGGGATGAAGTCAACAAACTTTTGTTAAGCCTATCTGTGAGTCATCTATCTCTGCTGAAGACACAGATGAAGTGGACTTGGAACCCAAGAGAGCACTATCCACCAGCAAGTATTCATTGTACATGCAAACGAAAAGGAACTGCAAAACCACAAGTCCAGTTTGTTGTCAGATAAAGGACAAAAAGAAAATGGCAAAGGAGCCACTGCTGCTGCTGCCACCAGCACAGCCCTGCCAGACCTGTCCTGCCCACCACACCGTCCTGGGACTTGTTCCAATAATCTGTTAAAACATGGTGAATTATATGAAGTTCTAGGCATGCAGAGGCATGCCTCACCCGAAGATATCAAAAAGGCATATCAGAAACAGGCACTAAAGTGGCATCCAGATACAAATCCTCAAAATAATGCAGAAGCACAGAGAAAATTCAAACAAGTAGCCAAGGCACATGAGGTGTTATCAGATGCTAAAGCATGACATCTATGACAAGCCTGGCAAAGAAGGATTAACTGCTGAAGGAGGAGGTGGAAGTCATTTTGACAGTCCGGAACCCAGATGATATCTGCAGGGAATTTTTTGGTGGAAGGGACCCATTTTCATTTGACTTCTTTGAAGACCCATTTGAAAACTTTTTTGGGAATCAAAAGGGTCCCCAAGGAAGCAGAAACCAAGGTGCAGGCTTGTTTTTCTCGCTTTCAGTGGATTTCCATCATTTCGAGGTGGATTTTCTTCATTGGGTCACTAGGTCACAGTGGCCTCATTACATTTTCTTCTACATGATTTGGTGGCAGTAGGATGGGCAACTTCAAATCTATAGCAACTTCTACTGAAATTGTTCTAGTGGCAGAAAATAATTTCAGTTTGTTTTTAAGTATTTAGTAATGTAATGAAAATCATTACAAAGAGAATTATTGAGAAGGTAAAGAAAGTAGAAGTTGAGATGGCCAGTAAAAGTCCTTAGTGATAAATGGCAAGGAGCAGCTACTATGCTTGGATAACAAGTAATTCCACACATGCATTAAACAGAAATGTTAAACTATAACAAGCACCATTTGAGGGGTAACAGGAACATTTTTAAAAAAATTTAAACAAACTTGACTTTCAGTATAATTGTGCCTAAAGTATTTATAAACAGCTCATTGGAGCTCCTACTTGTCATAGACTTTGAGTTTATTTTTGGGATCACACAATAGGACCATGTTTTTTTGTCTTTAAAATTGTTGTAATTTCCATATGCACTTTGCTTTTGTATAAAATATAACACAATGTGAGCTTGACTTTGAGTACTGCTAGGCCAAGACTGCATTCTAACACCAGCACAGGTCTGCTCTCCATGTGTCCGACAGGTGAGCCAAGTAGTGCTGCCCGAAGTGAGCTAACACTGCCAGGGTACACCTCCCACAGAAATGATTCCACTTAAAAAAGCAACTATAGGGACATAGTCACATCAATGTTTAGAGCAGCACAATTCACAATAGCTAAATTGTGGAGCCAACCTAGATGCCCTTCAATAGATGAATGGATTAAAAAATGTGGCATATATACACAATGGAATATTACTCAGCAATAAAAGAGAATAAAATCATGGCATCTGCAGGTAAATGGATAGAGTTGGAGAAGACAATGCTAAGTGAAGTCAGCCAATCCCAAAAAACCAAATGCCGAATGTTTTCTCTAATATAAGGAGGCTGATTCATAGTGGGGTATGGAGGGGGAGCGTGGGAGGAAGAGATGAACTCTAGGTAGGGCAGAGGGGTGGGAGGGAAAGGGAGGGGGCAGGGGGTTAGAAATGATGGTGGAATGTAATGGTCTTCATTATCCAAAGTACATGAATGAAGTCATAAATTGGTGTGAATATACTTTGTACATCATCAGAGATATGAAAAATGTGCTCTATATGTGTAATATGAATTGTAATGCATTCTGCTGTCATATATAGATTTTAAAAATTAACAAAAAAAATATAATTTGTTTTTTAAAGTATTTAGTAGTGAAAGATATTAATGCATTAATGGTAATACATTTCTGGTTTAATATAAATTTAAGGATGTTTTCCAGTTGTGCATGAATGCAGACAACTTTTAAGTTTTAGCAATTGTTTAAATATGTAATGTTAAGCCTTGGTTTAAAAAGTTGGTAAACTGGGTCTTTGTCATTTGCTTAAAAAAAAAAAAGGGTTCAGTAAGGAAAAAACATGGTGCATGTCTATGATCCCAGAGACAGGAGACTGAAACAGGAGGATCCCAAGATGGAGGTCAGCCTTAGAAAGACCCAATCTCATAAAATAAGAAGGGCTGGGGACGAAGCTCAGTGCTATGGGGTTCAATCTTCAGTAACCCCACCCCCCCACACACACACAAAAGATATTTGGAACAAATGGGGATATGGGAATATGTACTGGATGCTTGATAACAGAATTTTATCAATATTGAACTTCCTAAATGTGATAATTTATTGAAGAGAACACCTTGCTCCTGTGAGATGTGTATTCAATTATTAATATTTAAAGGACCGTTGCTGGAGTTATAGTTCAGTGGCAGAGCGCTTGCCTAGCATGTGTGAGGCACTGGGTAGAACCTCGGCACCACATAAAATTAAATGTATAAAAAAACACATAATATTAAAAAAAAAAAAAAGGGGGGGGGGCTCTCTGTAACTATTCTCAAATAATTCAGAACAAAACGATTATGGGGTCTTTTCCCCTAACCCATAGTTCTGGGGATTGAACCCAGGGCCTTAGGCATGCTAGGCAATTGCTCTTCGGTCCTCTAAGCAAGGTCAGGCCTGGTTAGTGCTTGGGATGGGAGACCACCGGGGAATACCGGTTGCTGTCAGCTTTAAAAAAAAAAAAAAGACGCAGCGCAAGGTCATAAATAGAGCAAAATGCTAACAAGCAATGAATGGAGAAGAGTCACCTGGGTGTTCCTGGCACGAGTTTTGCAACCTTTCTGATTGTTACACGCAAAAAAGAGGGAGGGCAGAGGGCGGAGGGCGGAGGAAACTCGACACTGCGAAGGAACCCAGGGAGGAAACGTCCAGCGCGCGTTTCTTCGGTCAGTCCGCTCTGGGGCTGCCTGCCACTCAGGGTCCCTTCCCGGGACAGTGATGTTCTCATGACTCTGCACCCTGCAATCCCTGTGCCGCTGAAAGGAACGCCAGCACGCTCGATATCACCCCAGAGGGGTCACTCCTACTCGGATTTCGCCATAGAGCACACTGCGCTTGGGCCAAGGTCAACAGAAACGCGAGCCGGGGAGCCGAGACCAGAGCCCAGGTCCACCTGACGCGGTGGCCTGGTCTGAGTCCCGCCTGCCGCGCTGCCCGGATTCCCATTAGCGCCGGCGCCCAGCCTCCGACCGCGAACGACAAGGCGAGGCCGCAGATCTGAACCGAAGCCAGCCCCGCGCGCGCCTCGCTGCCCGGGAATCCGCCGTCGAGCGCCGCCGCGCGGGTCCCAGCCGCATTACTTCGGAAACCGCCTCCCAGAACCGCCCGCGCCGGCAGGACCGGCGCATGCGCAGATACGAGCGGCAGCCGACCACTGGGGCGCGAACCCCCAGAAATGAAACGAGGCCTCGAGGTCTTTTCCTCTTTCATGAGCTCGACGCCGTGCTTGCCCAGCCCGGCCCCGGTTTATGCTGTACCTGCTGGTAAGAGAATCGCTGTTGCTCCTCGGCCTCCGCCTCCTCCTCCATCACGCGGACCAGCTCAGGAAGACGCTCAAAGGCAGAAAGAGGCAGTGGCCCAGACGGTCCGGTCAGATTTTTCCCGCCGCAGCGACGGGCGACGGGCCGCGCCGGGGGTCAAAGCGCGAAACTTTTCTCTGTCCTGCGCACGCCCCCTGGCGGCGACTCGGGGACGGGGTCTTGGCGGCCTTCTCTATCCCCCTTCTTCGGGAAGGTGGCCCAGCGACGGCGGGGACGTGACTGCTGAGGTCGCTCCTGCACCACAGACCCTGACTGAAGACCCGGCACGAGCTTAATACCCTGGTTTTCGCAAAAATATGTGTATATTGGTACAAAGTTCGTTATAATAAATCGTACGAGCAAAAGGGAGGGGTGGGCCCACAATTCACAAATTACGAACCGCAGTACTCTGTGAACTTCGTACCCGTGTAACTGTGTGTACCTTGCAAAATCCACCATGAGTGCTCACAGTTCAGTCAGCATCAATAGTGTCACAAAATCACTGCACAATCACTGCCGATTCAGCGAGTGAGCGGCTTACCCCACGCCATCCACAAAGGAGCAATTCTGTCGCCAGTGTTGATGCCTCCAAAGCCAGTAGCGGTGGCTCACGCTCTGGAGGCTGAAGCAGGAGGGTGGCAAGTTCAAGGCCAGCCTCAGCAATTTAGGGAGACCCAGTCTCAAATTCCTCAAAGGGCTGGAGATGTAGCTCTGTGGGAGAGCCTGTGCCTAACATGGGGAAGGCCCAGGGTTCCATCCCCAGCTCAGCAAAAAGAAAACAAAACAACAAAAAAGGCAAGTGACAGAGTGAAACCCAGGACTGAATCTTTACTCCTTTCAACCTTTCTTCAGTTATTTTCTTCCTTCCCAACTTCTGTTTTTCAGAGCTTCACTCCTACCTTAGTGATGTGAGCAAAGAAGTTTGCTAAGTCAGACAATACTCAAATAGGAGAACTTTAATATTTTTGTTCGCTTCACAATGTAAGACAACAAACATGTTGTCACATTTAATCTGCACTGTGAGCATTTCCTCCACCACACTCCATGTGTGTTTTACTGAAGTAGAATAAGAAAAAACAGGTAGGAAGGAGACGTAAAGGAAGGACAAGGAAGTAAGATTTTAATTCAGAAACTCCACCTACTTTTCCAGGCCTGTCACTTTCTTTTTTTTTTTAATTCTTAAGTTTTAGGTGGACACGATATCTTTATTTTACATTTATGTGGTGCTGAGGATCGAACCCAGTGCCTCCTGCATGCTAGACATGCACTCTACCTCTGAGCCACAACCCCAGCCCTGAGGCCTATCACTTTCTAAGCCAGTCTGTCTTCCAAGCCGTTTATTTCCATATTCCTGGAAAATATGTATACCTACCTAGGCACTATTAATTAAGCCCCCAATAAACAAAGAGAGATACAATATTTTGAGAAACCTATAATTTGGGAGACTTTCCAGTACTATCTACTGATCAGGTAATGAAGACCACATCTGCCTGGAAGTCCAAGATTGACCAGCCCAACAGAAACCGCCCTGAGGCCACCAGACCGCTATCATTCCTACATACCTCTCCATACCCCTCAGACCTGCCTCTTACTAAGTTTTCTTTAAGTGAAGAGCCGGGAACTCCAAGACCACATCTTTCACCCTCCAGATGGCCACATTTTTGCTTGAATGTGTTTCTACCTTCTTAAATAGATCTCTATTTGCTCTGACTGGCACGTGCTGAAATTCTTTTCCGTCATGCCAGGTCTTGAGTGGAGTTCCCCCTTCTCTCTGGGGGACACCTCTTCTCCCATGTCAATACAGGAGTGGAACCCAGAGCCTCATGCATGCTAGACAGGTGCTCTACTACTGAGCCACATCCCCAGCCCTTTTAATTTTTTATTTTGAGACAGGGTCTTGCTAAGGCTAACCCTCCTTCTGCCTTGGCCTCCTGAGTAGCTGGGATTGCAGATGTGAGCCACGGTACACAGCCAGTATGTACTACTTTTTTTTTTTGTACCCAGGATTGAATGTAGGGTTGCTTAACCACTGAGCCACATCCCCAGCCCTTCTAATTTTTAATTTTGAGACAGGATCTTGCTAAGTTGCTGTGGCTGGCCTTGAACTTGGAATTCTCATGCCTCAGACTCTCGAATGGCTGGGATTCCACGTGTGCACCACCACGCCCAGCACCATGTATTATATTACTCTTTTTTTTTTAATATTTATTTTTTAGTTTTAGGTGGACACCATATCTTTATTTTTTATTTTTATGTGGTTTTGAGGATCCAACCCAGCGCCCCGTGCATGCCAGGGGAGGGCGCTACCGCTTGAGCCACATCCCCAGCCCACCGTGTATTACTCTTACAATTAAAGACACGCACCTAAGCTGCTACTTATCTTCCTTTTCCAGGGAAGTCCCCCCAGACCCCCCAAGTGTATGGAGGGATAAGACCCAGAACTTCTGTGGTGGAATAAACTTTCTGAGCAACTTCTGACGCATCTGACCGGTGGGTGGCATCCCGAGAGTTCGGGTGGCTCTGGCCTCTTGCCACTGCTCCCTGGGGGTCCTAGCCTACTGGGATGGTCTTCCATCCGATGCAGGGCAGGCCTCAGCAGGGGCTTCTGTCCTTTTGTGGCCACCCTCCTCCCTAGCTCCCTCCAGGCCCTGTCCTGCAACAGCAAAGAAGGCAGAACCGTGGTGAGCAGTCCCACTCCAGACCCTTCCGCAGCCTGGTGACCCTGAGCAGGTCACAGAGCTCCCCCAGCCTGGGGTGCCTCGTTCGGACAACGTGGGAAGTTCTGCCTTCGCAGAGCTGTCCTGAGGTCTGGATGAGGCGATTGCCTCCCGTGGGGGACAGGATTCATGACCATCATTCTGATGACATGTGTGGAGGGCTACTCAGGGACGAGAGGGTCTGGGGCAAGGTGCAGGGCTGAGTGCTGCCCTGCAGAAAGTGGCTGAACTTGGTGGAACCTGTTGGTCTTGGTGCAGCCGTAGCCATTTGGTCGGCCACTAGATGTCACCACTGCTCCACACCAGGAACAAGGTCACGGCCACCAGCTTAGAATATCATAATTCACATCCAGTGGGCACTTTGCACCTGTGTGGTTCAAGGCACTCCTTTTCTGTCTCATCTGTCCTCAAAGATAGAAACATAGCCCCGCTTTACACGAGGAGACAGCCCCAGGGTGAGAGAACTTTGCCTGGGATTAAACTGCTCGGACTTGGTGGAGCCAGATTTGACACTGAACAACCAGGGCTCTGTGTCCTCGATCTTACCTTCTGCTCTCCTCTCACTGCTCACACTGTAAATAAGATAAGGACATTTGCAGATTGCTTGAATTATTCTAAGCTGCATTAAATAGAATACCATGTATATTTTTTTGGCGGGGGGTGCTACCAAGGATTGAACTCAGGGCTACTCAACCACTTAGCCACATCCCTATTTTTTTTTTTCATCTTTCATACATTTGATTCAAGTGGGTTATGAACTCCCATTTTTACCCCAAATACAAATTGCAGAATCACATCAGTTACACATTCACATTTTTACATAATGCCATATTTGTGACTGTTGTATTCTGCTGCCTTTCCTATCCCCTACTATCCCCCCTCCCCTCCCCTCCCCTCCCATCTCCCCTCTCTACCTCATCTGTTGTTGTTCAGTTCTCTCCCTTGTTTCCCCCGCCCCTTTCACCTCACAACCTCTTATATGTGATTTCGTATAACATTGAGGGTCTCCTTCCATTTCCATGCAATTTCCCTTCTCTCTCCCTTTCCCTCCCACCACTCGTCTCTGTTTAATGTTAATCTTTTCCTCATGCTCTTCCTCCCTGCTCAGTTCTTAGTTGCTCTCCTTAAATCAAAGAAGACATTTGGCATTTGTTTTTTTAAGGATTGGCTAGCTTCACTTAGCATAATCTGCTCTAATGCCATCCATTTCCCTGCAAATTCCATGATTTGTCATTTTTTAGTGCTGCGTAATACTCCATTGTGTATAAATGCCACATTTTTTTAATCCATTCATCTATTGAATGGCATCTAGGTTGGTTCCACAGTCTAGCTATTGTGAATTGTGCTGCTATGATCATTGATGTGGCAGTATCCCTATAGTACGCTCTTTTAAGGTCCTCAGGGAATAGTCCGAGAAGGGCGATAGCTGGGTCAAATGGTGGTTCCATTCCCAGCTTTCCCAGGAATCTCCATACTGCTTTCCATATGGCTGCACCAATTTGCAGTCCCACCAGCAATGTACAAGTGTGCCCTTTTCCCCACATCCTCGCCAGCACTTATTGTTGTTTGACTTCATAATGGCTGCCAATCTTACTGGAGTGAGATGGTATCTTAGGGTGGTTTTGATTTGCATTTCTCTGACTGCTAGAGATGGTGAGCATTTTTTCATGTACTTATTGATTGATTGTATGTCCTCCTCTGAGAAGTGTCTGTTCAGGTCCTTGGCCCATTTGTTGATTGGGTTATTTGTTATCTTATTGTTTAATTTTTTGAGTTCTTTGTATATTCTGGAAATTAGGGCTCTATCTGAAGTGTGAGGAGTAAAGATTTGTTCCCAGGATGGTAGGTTCCCTATTTACTTCTCTTATTGTTTCTCTTGCTGAGAAAAAACTTTTTAGTTTAAGTAAGTCCCATTTGTTTATTCTTGTTATTAACTCTTGGGCTATGGGCGTCCTGTTAAGGAATTTGGAGCCCGACCCCACAATATGTAGATCGGAGCCAACTTTTTCTTCTATCAGGCGCAGAGTCTCTGATTTGATATCAAGCTCTTTGATCCATTTTGAGTTAACTTTTGTGCATGGCGAGAGAAAGGGGTTCAGCTTCATTTTGTTGAATATGGATTTCCAGTTTTCCCAGCACCATTTGTTGAAGATGCTATCCTTCCTCCATTGCATGCTTTTAGCCCCTTTATCAAATATAAGAAAGTTGTAATTTTGTGGATTGGTCTCTGTGTCCTCTACTCTGTACCATTGGTCCACCTGCCTGTTTTGGTACCAGTACCATGCTGTTTTTATTACTATTGCTCTGTAGTACAGTTTGAAATCTGGTATCGCTATACCTCCAGATTCACACTTCCTGCTTAGAATTGCTTTTGCTAT